TATTGTTAAAATATGATTTAAGAGACGCCCGACTTGCTACATACTATCCGATGCTGACGATGACGATGATTATGATAAAGTTGATGATGAGGAGGAGGAGAGGAAGGCGAAGGAAGCATCAGTTATGCTTAAGGCTAAGAGAAATGGTCTCGGGAGGCCTACGCACCTGCTGGGTTATAAAAGAAACCACAATTTGTCCCTACATGAGCTTGACTGACCTTGGCCGAGCATGTTTTCGTCGAAGCAGGGAGAGCCTTAGTCGTCGAGCCATGCGACTCAAATTGATGTGGAGAACAAGCCGATTGGAAAGAGTCGGTTGTCCGTGCGGTCATGACAACAGTGCAGCTGGTCGGCGGGGTTGTGGGAAGAGAGCCTGCACGACTGGTGGGCTCGCCAGGTCTGAGAGAGTTCCGTTGACGAGTGGCACTTGATGCAGTCGACCTCGAGAGCTCATCAGCTTGGCCTGTCGACGAAGAGGCGTTGCGATAGGATTGCCGACATCGGAAACAGAGTGTCATGGAGCAAGAACAAAGTGGATTGCATGACCACAGGCTTGTTGGAAAGTGAACCATCATGTCGGGCCTCGCATGTAAAGGGTATGAATATCCGTTTGAAGGCAGAACAGATATGAAACTATTGAGAAGTCCCGCAAGAAGCATTGTTGTGCTGGCTTCCATTTCGAGTAAATGTGTTTGGGGAAGAGATTCGAAGGTCGATTCCACCAGAAGACGACGGCAAATTCTTCTTGACCAGCCGTCGATTGGCTTTACTGGAACATTTCTGTTGACGCTGTTTCCGAGGTGATCTCTTTCTATTCCGGTGAAAAGGTGCTAAGATTTCGTCCGTCACATGACGAGCACCATCAAAGCATCGAAGGTATCATTGTCATAACCAAATTCAGGCTAACGAGTCAAGAAAATTCACCGGCAAATCCATAAAAATTGGTATATCTACACTGCATCTGGCCTCTTTGATCAAGTATAAAGTGGTTTGGTTAGTTGAGGTCATATTTCAACTTCGATGCATGTGAATGTGTCTGTCTATGTATGTGTATGTGCCTATTTGTGTTAGCTTATGCACGAAACCCGCAGTGATGTCTCAAAGTAATTAAGAGAGGAATCCGACATCGCTTCTGGTGGAACCGACCTTCCAATCTCTTCACCCAACACTTTCACTTGAAATGGAATTAAGCGCAACATACTTGTTTTTCGTTTATAAGTAGGATTTTTAGACCACCAGTAGATCATGTATATGAGATGAAAATCTACTTATAAACGGAAATAAGTAATGTAGTAGACTGCTATAGCAAATACAATCCTCTATAGAATGTGATATTGAAAATGGCTTGACCGTCCTTCAAATTCACACCTGCTCTGGGAGCCAAGAGCACTCTTGGCAGTGCGGCGTACGACCAACATGTCAAGGCTGCAAGCTGTACTACCACAAGCCCGGTTCGAGTCCCGTTGGGGTGCCGATGAGACTCGTTCAGGCGAGGTTGAAACTAATATGAGATTTATTTAGCCTATTTCATTTAAGGTGATGGAGGACTTGTTGTAGAATCTTTCCACAATGATATGAGTAGAGCTGACCTTTCCATTTAATTTCACATAGTCTTGCTTGTCCAAAAGTGACCCAAGGGCACTCGTGGCAATGTGGTCGAGTGGTTAGCGTGTCAAGCTACCGTCCTGCACTGTCGCGGTTCGACTCCCGCTGGGGGTGTTGATAAGACCGAGGTGAGGTCGAAACTGCAGTCCACCTACCTGGGATGAGAACAACTTTTAGGAAAGCAAGATTCTGTGAAATTGAAAGGAAACGTCAGCTCTACTCATAGCATTGTGTGAAAATTCTACTACCAGTTCTTCATATCTCACCTTAAACAAAATAGTGTGAATACATGTCATTTTACTGATTTACTGGTAGACTCGAAGCTTTACTTACATGCAAAAAATATGTCATAGTATATGTGTGAATAAAAGTAGCGTTTGAAGGATCTCTTGTCTTATGATTGTTATACAAACTGGCATTTCGAGTGAAAGTGTTCGGTGAAGAGATTCGAAGGTCTGTCACACCAGAAGACGACAGCGGAGTTCACTTTAACATCTGTCAATTGGCTTTCCTGAAATATTCCTGTTAATGGTGCTTCAAAGATGCTCTCCTTCCATTCCGATGAAAACGTCTTATGACGGACATCATCAAAGCAAATGGTAGCATTCTTACAAACCTATTCAAGCTAACCATTCTGTCGTCCTAACGCCTTGTTGAGGCATACAACGGTTGGGTTGATTCAAGTTATGCCAGCTTCGAGGCATGTGAATGCTTTCGTCTGTCTGTATTTCTGTGTCTTCATGTGTTCGTATGTAAATGGAACCAGCAGTGGTGGCTCGTACAAGTTAGAAACGAAAGTGGTTAATGTGTCAAACTCCCGTGAAGCACTGTCACGGTTCGAATCCCGCTGGGGGTGTTGATAAGACCCAAACGAGGCAGTCCACTCCAGCCGGGATGAGGGTACCTCTTGGAAAAGCAATGCTGTATGTGAAATTGCATGGAAACGTCAGCTGTACTCGACTCGATTGTGGGAGAAATCAAAAACCAGTCCTTCCTCGCTTTAAACGAAATAGGGCATCATTTGCTTCAGCCACGCATGCCTCGATCAGCTGACCTAAAACCAGCAAAAGATAAACGAGATGTTCTGCTGCTTTTTGAAACGGTTTTATCGTCTTTTCTTGCGGTCGCCCTGGCCCATTGACGGAATGGGCAAGACCGATTGCATTTGAACCAACTGGTCCTGTTGAGAGGATCGCAAGAAGCAGATGAGGCCGGCCCATGCAGATGAAGGTGATACACAATTTGTGTGACTTAAGACAAAGTGCATGCCTCGTGTTCGCCCAAGAGGAGAAGCAAGCTTCAACATGATCGAGGCTGAACAGAGAATAGGCCCAGATGTGCGAGTCTCTTTTTGTGCACACTTTGCGTCTGTGTGACCAGGCTAGTGTGTGAAGATTCTAAGGCTATGTGCCTAGACTAGTGACTATGCCGGCGTGGGCATCCGGAAGCAATAAAATTGATATCCTCCTGCGCACACACACACACAAGCATGGCCACAAAAGCATGTACAAAGGTGGACAAAAGGACGCCCAAGGGTTTGTTGGTGGAAGTATTCAAAGAAATCCTACCCCATCATGGCCCATAGTCAGGCGTCGGAAAAAGAGACAACGCCTCGACACGTATCTTCACCTCTTCTGGTTGTGGACCAGGGTTTCAGGGCCCGAAAACCCGGCGTCAGGACCATTTGTGATTTGACCTTTGAGCAGGTGGCCAATCAGGATCCAAACTCTTGTCCGGGCCTAGTCGAGGGCAGGAGAAAAAAGAGTTCAACCTGGGCCGATGTTGACGAAACGGAGCCGAGTTGGTGAAGCATGGCGGCCTTCTGCGAGTAGTTAATTGGGTTTGTTCAGAGAAATGCATTTTGCACGAATGGGAATGACAAACAGATAAATAGGTCGATCTCACCAGAAGACGATGCATGACTCTTGTTGTTGTGTAGCCCCCGGCTTTCTGGCTTAATACGGCGTTCAGGTTGACACAGTCCACGAGGCTGGACTGAGTTTGCAAAAGTCCCCAGCTTACAAGCACTAAATCTTGGAAACCCAGTTTACCTTCATAACTAAGTCAAGAATTTATCGTTTATAAGTAGTTTTTCGAGGCCATGAGTAGACCATGCACATGAGATATCATGAATTTTCCCACAACATAATAAGTCGACCTCATGTTCTCTTTGATTTTCGTATCCTTTTGCTTTCTAAAATATGCTGTCATCTCGATTGAACTTGAAGGGAATGCATTTTCGAATTTGCCTCAACTGGTCTCATTAGCATCCTCAATGGGGCTCAAACCTGGTTTGTCTGATAGCGCAACGCATAATCTCGACACGTTAATGCGTCATAGGGCAGAGCTGAATGTCAAGGAGGCTCAGGCGTCTTGCCATTTCACATTCTTTAGTGGGATTGTCGATGAAACAAGGTTTTATTTGCTATAACAATCGACTACATTACTTATTTGTCGTTTATAAGTAGAGTCACAAGACTG